TGGTGAGAGGGTGAGAAGAGATGGTGGACTTAGAAGAGGAAGAAGAAGAACTCTCTCTCTCTCTCTCTGTGTCCAGTACTAACCTGTGAAGTTGGAGCCTTGAAGCAGGTACCTCGAAGATGGAGCTGGAGCTATGGCGCCACAGGTAAGTACCGCTGGCCTCCGCCAGCCATCTCCATCCAATGCTACTACTACCACCTACTAGCGCCCAGCGCTGAAGACTACACCTACAGCTATGGGCGCCCAGCGCTGAAGACTACTGCTAGCGCTGAAGACTACTGCAGCGCTCCTCCTGAGTGCTGCGGCTGAATCCTGAAGACTACTCGTGCCTACTGTCCAACTACCTACCCGTGAAGTGCATGGGAACTACCTATGTACTACTTGGGTGCCTCCTGACTGCAGGTGAGGCAGTCCAAGAGGCTGCTCTTGCCAATGCCGAAGGAAGGCAGGGGCTGCCGCTGCAGTTCCTGCTCGAGCTGTCGTGGGGAACAGGCTAAAGAAAGCCTGTTCCGAAAACCCTGTTTCTGTGCCTGAGTCCTAGGGTCGGTCGAAACAATGAGGGCCTGAAAATGGCCCTCCGTTTCAGGTTGAAAAGCCTCTGGGCCTGAAAGGCCCAGAAATAGGCTGAAAACGGAATAGGGCCTGCAGGCCCTCGTTTTTCAGTTTCAGGCTGAAACGACCGGGGCCTGTAAGCCCTATTTTCTAGGCTTTTAGGCTGAAAGTGCCCTCGATTTTCAGTTTCAGGCTGAAACGACCGGGGCCTGTAAGCCCTATTTTCTAGGCTTTTAGGCTGAAAGTGCGGGACGGGCCCTGCAGGGCCCGTGTGGCTGCGCAGTATGCCACACCAGCCCTATGGGAGACGAGACTGGGCGTCTTTAATCATTGGCTGTGATCGTCGTCCGGCTGTGACGTAAAATAATTCCTGGAGTCACTTGGGGGCGGGCGTTGAATTGCCTCTGGATCAGCCAATGGTTGTAAGGCTCGCTGCACACGAGGATAATCCAGTGCAGGGCTGGCCAGCTCAGCAGATACTCGGGGCACAGGGGTGGGCCGAACACACACCTTTTAGACACGCAACGCCTCCGGATTGCTCAGGGATGCTGACATCAAGTGACATTCAGGGGAACAAAGGGAGGGGTAGATTTCAGGTGATAAGTTCGAGAAAATTCCATGCTGTCCTATCCACACAAATGATTCTATTTTTATGTTTTGAGTAGTTAGGTGTACAGCCATTGACATCTGACAGACAGCATTAGTTAGAACTGCTTTTTGTTCATGGTGCTTCTGTTTGCGGACTAGTCGAACTAAAAATAGTTTTATTTGTAGGAATCTGACTTACCTGTTGACCCTAAGTGATATCTACTCCGAAATAGCCACCACTTGGTCTGTGCACTATGCTGCGGTAGGCACCTAAAGTGCATTAGTGCAGATTGTGTACAGTACTGTAGCTTATGAGCGACGAGGAGGACGCTAGAGAGGACGACCGGATCTTGCGATCGGCAAGGCGCCCAGTAGCCCATTTGGCATTACGTCCAAAGGGTGACAGATATCTGTTCCGCCAGCGTAGAGAGAGGTTGCAGCAGCGAAGGAGGGCTAGAGCAGCAGAGGCTAGCAGGGCACTTGTGAGTGAAGCCGCAGCTTTAGAAGCCATGGCCACCTCAACACAGCAGTCTACTCAGGCCGGTAGTTCAGGGTCTGTTGGGTCAACGGTTGCACAGACCCAGAGTCAGTCCGCTGGCGTAATGGCGAGCCAGCCTATAGTGTTGACCTCCGACGAGATAGCCATACAACAAGCAGCTTTGCAGGAGGCACAGCTACAGAAGGCATTAGGAGATATAAAAGCGGAGAAAGAAAGAATGATTAGAAGAAGAGTCAGGATGCAACGGAGACAAGCGGACATTAGTGAGTTAGAGGAGATGGACCTGACGCAAGTGACTGATGATGTGAGGCTCATACGATCTGTCCTGCTGAATGTAGTTGAGATGCAGGACCATCAGACAACCATCCTTCAGGACATCCAGCAAAGTCTGGCCCTGTTGGTTGGGCGAGCGCAGACAACGTCGCCAATGTCCGGGCCTGGTGCCTGGCCCGTTGTACAGCCTCCTCCTTTTGTCCCACCGGTGACTGGGGTATCGCCATATGTAGCCCCATCATCGGTCGCGATCGTTTCCCTAGGCATGCCGCTGTCAGGAGGGGTATCAGCAGGAACTAGTTTGCAAGTTCCTGTACAGACAGTGTTCACCCAATCTCCGTTGCAGGTTGTGGTCACCACGCAGCCTGCTGTCTTGCAGACTGTACAGCCGCAGGGCACACAACCCCAACAGCTAGTACAGCAACCCGTGTCACAGGGTCCACAACCCGGAGTGATGCAGGGACCGGGACAAACACAGTGGGTTCCAAAGACGACCATCGCCGCTCCAAAACCCTTCACAAGGGATAAGAGAGGTGAAGACCTCGACACGTGGTTGAGGGCAGTGCCAGTCTATGTTAGGTGTAAACTTACCTTGCCGCACGAGGAAGTGCTTGTGGCTGCCTCCTACCTAGAGGATAGTGCAGCAAGATGGTTGAGTGGTTTAGTACAGCTCCAGGGGTATGGTCATGACTTCCGCGCTTGGGCACTCACCCAGAAATTGGATGACTTCCTTAAGCTGGTGGAGGAAAGGTGGCATGATCCTCAGGAGACCCAAAGGGCCATTGACGCGATCCTGGCACTGCACACGCGGCAGTTCAAGTCAGTAAGGGAAGCCACCGACGATGTTGAGCGTCTGATCTGTGTCCCAGGGGTGCGCTATGACCCCCAGGTTCTACTCACCTCCTACCTGAGATGCTTCTCCTTGCCTCTCAGGAATCAGTTGGCAGGTCAGGCCAACATCAATATGCACAACTTTCCTTCGTTTAGCAAGAAGGCCCTAGACCTTGAGGCGAAGATAGGGCATGGACAGGCACCCACTACGGATGGTAGGAAGAAAACGCTGCCTCCCAACTGGAAGGCAAAGGGACGCATTATGTTTGTCGATAACGATGGTTCAACCATCGAATTAAACGACAACTTCCAGGAGGCAGTAGGTGCAGAGGCGGGCAGCGTTGAAGCTTCAGGGGGTGGAGTTGTCGCTACCGTAGCTCAAAAAGGTAAGGTGACCGGTAGACGCCGCGGAGGCTCCCGGTCAAGGAGTCAAGTCGACCCCAACGCTCCCCCATGGGAGAAGGAGAGTCTCTCAGAGGACGTGTGGAGAGATCGGTACACACGGCAGGCTTGCATTCGTTGTGGCCAATATGGCCATAATCAGTTCAAATGCCGTAACAAGAAGGTGACCGACAAGATCCCGCCTACGATGGGGCAGGTGGTAGGATCCTCCCATCCCGTTGGTAGCAATGTAGCCAGCACTTCAGGCACTACTCCAGGAAACACGTCGGGTCAGTAGGAATAGTAGTTGTTCCTACTAGGGTCGAGGTGGTGGAGACACCCTCACCATCTCGAGAGATGGCCCAAGCTACTGACTCCAGCGTCGTCCCGCAAACACGTTCAGACCCATCGAGCTTCTATTCGATGAATGTGTTCGAGTCCTTAGAGGAGCTAGAGGAGGAGTGGTCTAGATCAAACCCGCTTGCTTCTTGGACGACACTAGTCAAAGCCCCAAAGGGTGAGATGTTCGTCAGCGAGGTTGTCATTGGCGGCCGCAAGGCCGGGGCCTATTATGACACTTGCTCGACTAGAAACTTTGTCAGTCGCGCGTGCGTTGAGAGGCTGCGCTTATAGGGGCAAGTGCAGCGCCTGAGTCGACCTGTGGAGTCGACCTATGCCAACAAACAGCGCATGGTAGTCAATGACTACCTCCAAGATGTGGAGTGTTGTTTCCCGTACGCGGGAGGGGAATTGAGACATCACGTCTTGTTCCTAGTGAGCGATGAACTCCCCATGGACATGTTGTTAGGTATGTACTACCTCTCTGTGGCACAGCCCCAGTTTGACTGGGACCGAAAAATGGTCAAACACACTTTGCCAGGTGGAGGGACCGCCAGATTACATAAGTTCAAAGCTAGTAGTCTGATTGAGTCCTATGGGTGCATGTGTGCGGCCTCATTCTATAACTATTATAAGCAAAGCCAGGAGGAGGGTATGTATCTAGTTTATGTCTCTGCTGCAGGCGAGCCGGTGAAAATACCGTCGGAGATAGAGGGAGTAGTTGCCAAGTACCCTGATCTATTTGAAGAGCCGACAGGGGTTGTAGAGAGGGAGGTCGTCCACGCGATAGAGATTATCCCAGGGTCTAGCATTCTGAAGGGTAGGATCTATCGGATGTCTCCAGGCGAGCTCGATGAGCTTCGCCGACAGCTCAAGGAACTCGTAGAGAAGGGTTGGATCCGGCCGAGTGTCTCTCCTTATGGATCTCCGGTACTATTTGTACCTAAGAAGAAGGAGGGGCCTCAATGCCATCACAGTTAAGAAGAGAACCCCTACCGCGCATCGACGATTTGTTAAATAGAGTGCAAGGGTGTCGGTACTTCAATAAGATAGATCTGAAGTCCGGGTACCATCAGATTGCAATCCGGCCCGAGGATCAACACAAAACCGCCTCAGACCAGGTATGGTCTGTACGAGTTTGTGGTGATGCCTTTCGGCCTTTGCAATGCTCCTGGCACCTTTCAGCACGCTATGAATCGGATATTCCATGACTACTTGGATAAGTTTGTCATCGTGTACCTCCATGACATACTTATTTTAGTAAGACTGTCAAGGAGCACGTTGCGCACTTGGACAAAGTCCTCAGTCTCCTGCGACAGCACAAGTTCAAGATCAACGGTGAGAAGTGCGAGTTTGGCCGCACCCGTGTCTTGTACTTGGGTAATGAGATCTTCGCGGAAGGGTTGAAGCCCGATGACGCAAAGGTGGCCAGCATTCGTGATTGGCCACGTCCTCAGTCTGTGACTGAGATGAGATCTTTCTTAGGAATGACAGGCTACTATAGGCCTTTCGTTAAGAACTATAGCATAGTGGCCACTCCTTTGACTGATCTGACCCACCTTGACACCCCATGGGAGTGGACAGATGAGTGCGAGGCTGCTTTCAGACATCTAAAGCATGCGTTGACGCACTACGAGGTCTTGAAACTTCCTGATCCTGATAAGCCGTTTATAGTCACCACGGATGCCAGCCAATATGGCATTGGCGCCGTGCTCGCGCAGCAGGAGGGGCTAAAGTTGAGGCCTGTGGAGTACATGTCCAAGAAAATGCCGTCTCAGAAGTTGGCCAAGTCCACCTATGAGAAAGAACTCTATGCAGTTTACAAGGCTCTGACCCATTGGAGACACTATCTCGTTGGGAGGTTCTTCATCCTCAGGACTGATCATCAGACCCTGAGATGGATGAGAACTCAGCCGGAGCTCTCTGACGCTCTGAAGCGTTGGATTGAAGTCATTGAGCAGTATGACTTTGACCCTCAGTATCTAAAAGGGGAGTACAACAAGGTTGTTGATGCCTTGTCTCGTAGACCTGACTTCTCAGGTGCGCTGATTACTGAGTTCGATCTGACGGACAGTGTTACTCAGTCTTTGGTGGAAGCCTATCGCGAGGACCAGTTCATGTCTGAGATCATACGCAGACTTGAGGCGAAGGACAAGAAGACTTCTGCCGAGTTTGTGTTGGTCAATGGCTTGCTGTTCCTTGAGAAGGAAGGGAATAAACGATTGTGTGTCCCGAATAGCGAGTCTTTGCGTAGTTTGTTTTTAGGTGAGTGCCATGATGCCACCGGCCATTTTCGGTATAAGAAGACCGCAGCCAATCTGCTGCAGCGGTTCTAGTGGCCCACGATGATGCGAGACGCTCAGCTGTACGTGGAGACTTGTCAGGTATGTCAAAGAGACAAGCCACGTACCCAGGCTCCTCTTGGGCTTCTAAAGCCCCTTGCGATTCCGGAACGGCCTGGTGAGAGTCTATCCATGGATTTCATGGATACTTTGGTCACCAGCAAGAGTGGGATGCGACACATCTTCGTCATCGTGGATAGATTTAGTAAGTATGCTAGACTAGTAGCAATGCAGGAGACTGCGAAAACCAAGTATGTAATCAAGTTGTTTAAAGAAAATTGGGTCAGGGATTTTGGCTTGCCCAAATCAATTGTTAGCGACAGGGATGTCCGATTCACTAGTGAGTTGTGGAAGGCCGCAGCTGCGGAGCAGCGTACTCTGTTGCAAATGACTTTTGGGAATCACCCAGAGGCCAACGGCCAGGCAGAACAAATGAACCGCGCTGTACAACACCTGTTGAGGCATTATATCAAGCCCAACCAGGTGGACTGGGACGAGAAGCTTGCTCTCATCGCCAGTCTATACAATAATGCTATACACAGCGCTACCGGGGTGAGCCCAAACAGTTTGCTGTTGACTTTCAAGCCTAGACCACCCTTAGATTTTCTCCTTCCTGAGAATCAGTCAACTGCTGCACCAGGCACCTTAGAATTTGCCTATCGGTATGAACAGAAGATGCAGCAGGCGGTAAAACAGATGCAGAAGGCACAAGCGGCAATGATAGAGTCTGAGAATAGACACTGCCGCCCTTCTACGTTTCAGGTTGGGGATAGAGTCTGGGTTAAATCTTCACAACTGAGACAAGAGTACGGTATCTCCCGTAAACTCATGCCTCAGTACTTTGGGCCTTGGGAAGTTCTAGACATTGTTGGGACTGATCCGGATGGCCCATCTTATGTTGTTCGGATCCCTGGTCATCTCCGCACTTACCCTGTCTTTCACGCCTCCAAGCTTGCACCTTTCAAGGAAACAGATCAGTTTCCATCTCGTCGTTCAATGCTGCCCCAAACCATGGATGGAGAGGTCAACATCGACGATATTGTTGATCACCGGGAACTGCCAGTTCCAAGAACAACAGGCAGGGGACGTCCTCCGAAACCGAAGCTGCAGTACCGTGTTCGGTTCCGACATCATACTGATCCGAAGGAGGACCGCTGGTTTACCAGGGACGAACTCATGCAGACCGCTCCGCAAGTTGTGGCTCACTGCGAGAAATCTCTGCAGAAAGGAAAGCGCCCGATGGTCGAAGACTGAGCTTCTCAGAGGACTGTTGAAGCTAAGGAGGAGGGAATGCGATGCCACTGCCTCTATGAGCCCCATTCGGCCCCCTTTTTGGGAACCTGTCCTTGCAGTTTCATGATTTCACCTCCACATTTTTTGTGCAAGGCTGAGAGGAAAAGGCAGGGGGCGGGGTGGGAGATTCACTAATCAAAATGATCAAATGTAGTATACTAAAGCCCTGAAAGGCGATCCTGTCAGATTCGACAGAGGAATCTGAAAAGATTGAAGTGGCTGGTGCTACGCCTTGTCTTTTTTTTTTTAATGTATTAATAATCATCACAGCGCGAGTATCAGTCTTTTGACTCTTTAGTCTCATAGTGAATACAACCTTGTATTAGGCTGTTGTCTTCGCTTTGGAAAGAATTCACAGACATGCATCGAATTCGGGGAAAACATCGAAGAGCCAGTCAATGGAGCGCTGCAACTAAGCACCACAGTTTACTGCTGGAGCCATGGTAGATGATATTCTTCACACCATTCTCAGAGATCCTCTGAAGGGCACATCATCCAGTTACTCACATCTTATCAAACATGCTTGCTTTTTTTTTTTTCTTTTAATCAAACATCCTGGCTTTCAGTAGGAATTGGAAAAGAAAAGGGACCGTGAGCGACACGCCCAGTTAAAAGAAGATCGACAAGAGTGCAGCTGAAGACAATCCTTACCTTTCCACGCCAGCTCCTACCAGGGTCCTGCAGATCCCAATCATGGCCAAGCAAAGACTTCGCTGAATTACTTAGTTTTTTCCGGAGATAGGTTACCAAACTATGCTGTGTTACTGAAACCGAGAAAGAGCTTCTGCGGCCAATGGAGCCTGGTGCTGAGCCATTCCAGCTGCCTTGCCCATCAGCGGATCCTGAAGAATTGTAGTTACGCTCATAGGACTCTGCACAACGCACTAGCTCCTCAAGACTGAGAACCAGCTCGATTGCTCCTGATAGATCATGCTGCATTGCTGGTCGATGCCAAACACACAGAGAAAATGTCATCAGAACATGAAAGAGAAACAAATTGGTGGAAGGGAGGGAGGGGATAGATGCACAGACCAACCGAAAGAAAGGCGGACAGGCGCGGACGGATGAATGAACGGACAAACAGACAGATGAATGCAAATGCGGACAGATGGAACAAACAGACGTACAGACAGATCGACAGACAGACGAAGACAGATGGATGAAGCAGATGGACAGATCGAGAACTGACATTCAGGTCAGCAAGAGGACACGCAGGTAGGCAGGCAGGCCAACAGTCAGGCAGGTAGACACATCAAAAGATTCAAAACACAGGCCGGCAGGGGAGAGAGAGAGAGAGAGAGAGAGAGAGAGAGAGAGAGAGAGAGAGAGAGAGAGAGAGAGAGAGAGAGAGAGAGAGAGAGAGAGAGAG